ATACATCGAGCCCCCTATTACTGGCACAGCCCCCTGTGTGTCTATACATTGACCCCCATATTACTGGCACAGCCCCCTGTGTGTCTATACATTGACCCCCATATTACTGGCACAGCCCCCTGTGTGTCTATACATTGAGCCCCATATTACTGGCACAGCCCCGTGTGTCTATACATTGAGCCCACTACAAATCCTCATTTTAGATACATTCCTGAGCATCAGATCCTTGTCTGTAGAAATCACATAGGAGATCTTCCTGAGGAGATGTTCTTCCCCTGAGTCACATATCTGCCCACATCAGAACAGGCCCGGACAGGCAGAGAACGCAGTGTGCTGTGATTAACCCTTTCCTCCACCATTGCATGTGATCTGCAGGAACGGGATGTGTACCCGCACCTCCCTAGAACTCGCTGCACCGTACGGGGATCACATGACTCCGGGGGCACTTCCTCTGTGTGCAGCAGGAAAACAGTTAAAGCCCAACTCCACCCAGAACCCTTCTACGCCGCGAGGAAGGCTCAGAACCTTTCCCTTGGATTGTGTCACCTAATGGTACCTGAGGGGATTTCTCAGCACATCCTGTCCCAGTGACCCAAAGGGACAGGAAATGTTGGCAAATGTCTCCGATGGGGAAATGTAAACATCTGTTCTCTGTAGACAGAAGAGTATCATTACATGGGGCCCTTTACCTATAGATGTAGCACAGTGACACACGGGCGTGATATCAGCGTCTGGTAGAGGTAACATACTATACCCTCTGGGTACTAATCACACTGAGCCGCCGGAGAAAATATTACAATGCAGTAATATACAATGTTTCCCCGAAAGTAAGACCTAGTCTGGTGGTAGCATGTGAGGGGGAACTTGAAGTGCAGGAGAGATGGTGTCAGCCTGCTGGGACACACTGTATTAAGGGGATGACAGGGGACTCCCTCCAAGCAGCGCAGTGACAGGCAGCACTCCAGTACCAGACTTCACCAACTGCTGTCCCCCTGAAGGCACTGCTTCATGTAATGGTACTGTACTGTGCACCGGTGAATGGTACCGTACTTTACCGCGCAGTCCACTGTCTGATGTCCCCACCGTTGGCACTACTGTCCCTGGTGGCAAAGGAAGCCGGCGCTGTAGAAAGCAAGGCTGCGGCTGTGGAGGGAGCAGAGCCACGTTCTTCCTCTATGGCCCCATTCACACGTAGAGACATACCTTTTGCAGCGGCCGAGATAGCGCGACTTTCGGGGCGACGTTCCAGCAACGGTAGTGCGACCTTCTCCGTCGGGCTCCATTAGAAAAAAGCAAAATTGTGCAAAATCCGCCGAAAAAAGGGTCCATTGACTATTATTAGCAGGCGACTTCTCGCGATATCGCGCGGCAAAAATGCGCAATATATCGCCACGTGTGAATGGGGCCTTTAGCGCCGGTTACTGTGACAGGCGGAGTGACACCAGATAACTTTAGATTGTTGTACATTTTGTTGCACATAAAAAAAAAGAAGACATCCCTGAAAATAAGACCCAGTGTGTGTTTTTGGGGCAAAAAAATATAAAGACATACTCTTATTTTTGGGGAAACATGGTAGTGACCCCTAAAACATATCAGCTGCTTGGGTGGACCCCGATTCCTCCTGGAAGAAGTATACAGCGAGCTGTAGCTCCCTATATACTGAGCCTAGGGTGACGGAGGACGCCAGTTTATGGCTTCCCGTTACCCTTAGGAGAACTATGGGGAAATGCCCTGACCCCATAGCTCTCCTCTCCGCTGAGGGGCGGGCTTCCGATGATTCCAATGAAGAGCGGCCAGTGTGCGCTTGCACACACTGGCCCGTGCGGCATTAGTCTTCCGAGCACGCTACCAACCCGCCGAAAATCGTACGATTTTCGGCCGCTTTTCCAGCGTGATCGGAAGACGACACTTCGACTGTACGGTCGCACGCTGCCCATACACCTGCCAATTATCGTACGACCGCGGGATCAGCCACAACTATCGTGCGATAATCGGCAGGTGTATGGGCACCTTTATGGTTACGGTGTACAGCGCTTTTTTTTTAGCGCTGTACACCGATCCCGCATCCTATGGGGGTTATTAACCCTTTTGTTTGGCGGCTCTTAACCACAAATGCTCGTTCTAGCCTATTACTGAAATCTACCTTTATGGTTACAACTTCCTCTCATTGGAGCCCCAGTGCTGGTAGATGATTCTCAGCGCACGAAAACCACATCAACCCCCAAAAAAGTGAGAAGAAGATCCCAGGTAGTGGAGGTGAATGGACCCTCCTGTCCAGGAGCCACTCAGGAAGCGGAGCCGGCCCCGTGCGCAGAGAGGTATGGACACGTCTGACCGCAGCTTTCCTCTCTGATTAAATGTGATCAGCGTGACGGCCGCGCGGGATGTACAATTACAGATTACCAGATGAAGTCCGGATGCCTTCGCGGCCGGCAAATTAAACAGGAGTTTTGTTCAACGGAAACGCAGATGTGTTCAGGTATCGCCGCCGAACAAGAATCCGTGTCGCTGCAGATTATATGAAACACTCGGCTCAGATCCCGCCACGCGAGGATCGACGTTTCCTCATTTAATGTCACAAAACGCCATTAAAGTGGCTTTAGAGGGAAAATGCTGCAGATTGGTCTACAGACACCCCAATGCAGAGCCCCCGGGGGAGGACAGAACCGACGGATTCAGCTTGCATTGTGTAGATGACCCCCAAATGAGGGGCTGAGGTTCTGGTCTTCCAATGGAAGGAGACACGACTGGATTCTGGAGAGATGGAAGAAGGACGTTCACAGCTGAAGATGGAACAAACAAACAAATGGAAATGTTCCCATTGTGTAATCGGCACTTCGGGAGGAGCTGTGTGTATTGTGTGGAGATCTACATCTTGTTAGCATGTGTATGGAGAATGTCTCGAGGGTGGAATTCATGGGTGGGGGTGGGGGGCTGCAGGTAAATTCACATTATCCTGACCTATCCATAGAAGAAACAGTCCCTATGAGGCCGTGTATACAGTAACACTCGATGTATGTTCCTAGCATGCCCCACACATGATGCCGGACGGGTGGAAATGAACGAGGGTTCAGTGTTTTGCGATGTGCACGGCGTGTCTATTGATGATATAATTCGTATCCGATTGGTCACAACCCCCTAACAAGACTTTACTATGTGTGAGACGCAGAGACGTGTGAGCACATCCTACGTCTGGCTGTACACATCTCATCAACCTACATTTCCCTATGTGAAATGAATACAATTTCATCTGCTTCCACTCCGGTTACATGATTAGAATAAAAATGGAAACCAGAGGATCGGAATGATGGCAGAACAGATTTCTGGTTAGGACGCCTTGCAGTGCTGGGGCCCTGGGCTCAGTTCTATACAGTGGTTCCTATATGTAGTTTGTATGTTCTCCTCATGTCTTTGCAGGATTCCTCTGGGTGCCCCTATATATAATCCTAATATAGAGGGGAAGGATAACTGGCTCCGTACAAACTACAGGATGCATGACCATGGGAAGGACACTAGAGTGTAAGCTCCTCAGGTGCACAGATGAAGACAAATGGCCTATGTGTTCTTAGACTAGGTGAGTCATGTGGGGTCCCATACCCAAGTGACTTTCTGCGCCCCCAGGGGGCACAACACCACGGGCACCCCGAACCCTCTGGCCACACCCCATGGTTCTCCGCTCACATCAGGAGGTAGTGCCGTCGGGGGTCCTCCCACTGTCTAGGGTCTACCCGTACATCAGGGCCTGACGCAACTAGCAGTGGACCGAACCGTCCTCCGACACCCACCATTACGTCAGAGGGTACTAGAATGTTCTCCCATCGGGTGGCAACATCCTCTCCCCTCCAACAACTGATAAGAACAGATACTACACTTGATCTTAGCCAAAAGGCCGACAATCTAAGATCCCTATTTCACATACATAGAGGGCCAACTTAGAGAGGAGCCAATTAACCTTCCAGCACGTCTTTGGGGTGTGGGAGGAAACCCACGCAAGCACAAG